GTTCAGTCAACTCTACCTTTGCCTCATCTTCTTTTTTTTGGTATTTCCTGCCAAGCTCGTCATTTCTGACAAGGATAATCTTTCCTCCAGGGATTATGAAGATATCCAGTAGTCATCACTTTTTGTCAGCTTAGCTCATATTAGCCAGCAACCCGTGGCTTAACGGTCTGAGCTTTGTATCTGGGTTCAAAGGGAACACCGGAGATTTGTGCCACGGTTCAGCCGTAAGGCGGTTAAGCAGCATGGTGGTCGTTCTCAAACCAGTTAGCGCGGTTCAAAGCCCAATCAGGGGAGAAGAAGCGCACAACTGTTGCCAGAGGTATCGCAGTAATACCTTTACTGTAGGAAAATAAACGTTGAGTGGAGCAATAATGGAGCTTTGGCCCCTTTCCTGCGACGGGGAGGAAATGGAGGCAGTGGTAATGTTTGGGGTAGTTTCTGAAGGTCACAACAAATGTTCAGAGCCCCCAGATCATAACGAGCTAAATCCCAATATCTGGTTTGCACATATTTTATATTTAACATGTTATTCCATTCTATTTCAATGTATCACTCAAACACATTAGAGCGAAATATATAAATACTGCTTCATTTGATTTATGTTATTATAGTGTACTTCAAATAGTTCTCTATCTGTGTTTTACATTTTTGTTTTACTTTTATGTTTGCACCACGACTCGAAGTCAAATTCCTCGTACGTGTCGACCTACCTGGTGATAAACCGGATTCTGATTCTGACCAAATGCACGCTGAAGGCTCTTTGAGCAGCTTCTCTCTCACTGATCCTGCTATCATTTAAATGTTTGTTTCTCATGTGTTGTGTCTTGATATTTGTCTGTTGGTGTTGCACATGGAGCTGCAGTGATGCAAGGAGCATTTCAGACTTCATCTGACTCGTATCGTATCGTAATAAGATGAGAATGAATTGCCCCAGTGGAAAACATGAAAGCTTGATTCTGTCTTTGAGTTGATCTCAAGAAGAATGGGCTGTAAAAAACTAATTGTGATAATATTGACAGATATTGCAATTTCAAAATCTATCTGTAACAACAAGGATTTTTCATTAAGGCGTCAGAATACCGTTCGTCTTCGCAGCTCAATACTTTATTCAGATATTGTTGCATATTTTGCATTTTCAAATATCGAGCTTACTGTGATTTTTGATATTGCAATAATCTATGCTGCAATTTCGCAAAAACTACGACAAATGGTGCCACCATAGTCTCCAGCATCAAGCTTGCAAGAAGTTGAATATTAAAATCAAGCTGTCAATGTTCCAATTATTGAATGGAGATAAGAAAAGACCCATCGTACAAACACAGAATATTGATTTTAGGCCGGGATATTCTTAATCATTTAAAGGTCAGGACCTTTCTGCAAAGACAACAATACTTTGTTCGGATAATAGAACATGTTTTTTATTTACCAAATGTTGTGCTTACTAGGATTTGATTATTGCACTAGTACGTAGAAGTAGTCAAATAAGAAGGTCAAGCTGTCGGTGTACCTTGTTGTGTGATGAAGAGGAGCAAAGTCCCGGCCTACAAACGGAAATCAGAATCACTATTTTTCTAGAGACATTTCTACATGTTTTTATTTACCAAATGTTGTGCTTACCGGGATTTTGATATTGCACCATTTTGGTTAATTGTGCGGCCTTAATGTCCAAACCTCGGGTCGTTAGACTCCAATTCTGTTTTTTGAAGGTCACGACAATTTCCAGCTGCGACTTAATGGCCCCAGTGGAATAATTAGGACCTTGATTGGTGGATTCTGCCTTTTGAGTTGATCTCAAGAAGAAACCAGTGGCTTGTGAAAAAGCAAAAAGCCTCAGATTCAATGCAGCAAACGCAGAAAAAGAGCCACCAAACAAAGTGGAGCTGAGTAAACACTCCCATCTGCCCCAGTGTTTGCTTTCCACGGCCGCCTGCCTCCCCAGCATGCAGAACATTTCGCTTCTTGATTTGCGAGTCTCTCCCATAGCTCAAAAAGCCTGAAGGCTGGTTGACTGAATTAGAGTTAGAGTGTTATCTCCCCAGCGAGGCAGAGCACTGATTGCTGCCCTCATTGGTAGCAAGGAGCACGTTCGCTGGTGTAATAGCTGCCATAGAAACCACATCAGCCAAGTAATTGTTTAGGCAACCTCAGGAAATTAAGAGGACAACATTAAAATGCTCCCGCTTGGCTTCGTCTCGCTTCTCTGGGGCTACATTTTTTTATCTAATGTTCAATTTGTGCTGCAGAAGATTGACAGCTTGAGACCGCAAAACCAGGTCTATATTTTGTATACACGTTCCTGGAGAGTTAGAAAAGCACCGTGTGGAGAAAATAACAAAATTAGGTTTTTATTGATTGATAATGGGATTACTATATCATCTTTTTACATCAGTATTTTCATTATAATGCTCATTACACTACACATAACATTAATTCATGATTGAAAAATATTTTTAAGTAAACATTTATTTAAGAGGATCTGTGCCAAAGGAATATATTTAGTTCACTCTGTAGAATATTAATTATAGGCCCGGATATCTCTGCAGCTTCACAATACTTTATTCTAAATGATGTTTTAAGCAGCGTTTTGTGCCGGTCAACGTGATCGGTATGATTTCAATCTACCGGACAAAAGGGAACATATTCTGAGATTATAGATTTCCGTACAATTTAAATTGTGCTTTCAGCAAATGCATTTTTTAGCAGACAATATGACCGCAGAGATTTCAATTTGACGGGCTTCCACACGTATCAAAATCCGGGGGAAAACGAAAAAATTCAATAAAGTAAATATTCATAAAACTAATTAAATTCTTGAAAGAAAAAAAAAAACTCAAAATGATGTCGAAAAAGTGAGAATTAAGAAACAGGAAAACATTTGATTCTGGTTAAAAAAAAAGTCAAAATACAAAGAAATGCAGAATTTTTGGAAAAAATTCTGAGAAAAACTCACATTTCAGAAAAAAACAAATTCTGTTGAAAAAGTGAAAATTAACAAAAGAAAAATCTAAATTCAGAGAAAAAGTGAACGTTGAGATTTCTGAATTTTTTTTCTCAGAACTCCAAAAATATGTATTTTCTGGTCGGATCTCTAAAGAAAATCAACGCACCGAATCCTCTTCCGTGCGCTTTGTATTGAGCTTTCAGCTATTTGTCTTTACCAGACGACATGAACGGAGAGCTTTACACCTCTGAAGATATTTCCGGTTCAAGTCAGACTCACGGAAACTCTTATTATAACACACATTTAGTTATTGAACTGCTCCATATTGAGACGAGATGAACCAAATGTCTCTGTAATACAGTCACACATAGATGCTGTGTCCATTAGTTTGTGTAAACGCAGAATATTGATTTTAGGCCGGGATTTTCTTAATCATTTAAAGGTCAGGACATTTCTGCAAAGACCACAACACTTCATTCAGATAATAGAACCGATGTTTTATTTATCAAATGTTGTGCTTACTAGTATTTGATTATTGCACTAGTACGTAGAAGTAGTCAAATACGAAAATAAAGCTGTCGAATATCTTTTGAAAATGAATTGTAGGAGACTGCTGCCAAATTGTGAGCCATCGATGTTCTGTCCGATCACTTTGATGATCCTATGGAAAAACAACCGCCCTTTACTACATGTCTTCATACACTCCTGTCTTAATATTGCTGTTGGTTCAGTTTGTCTGTGAGGCACCGTCGTCTAACGGCACGTCCACACAGCAGCGTTAAAATCTTCCAACGCTTCTGCCCATTCACTTTGAATGGGGTCACGTCACTTTGCCTCACTTTTTGCCGAACTGCATTGTGGGAAACAAAGCGGAGATTTCCAGGCATCAGGATTCAAAAGTTGAGCAATGTTCAACTTTTTAATCTTCTGAAGCTTTCGGTGGAAGCGTCAGCCAATCGAATCATATGCCAGTGCAAGCTCTAGCCAATCAAACCGCTGCTTGTGTGTCAGGGGCGGGAGATTCATGTGATTGGTTGTTGGTCGAGCTTCAGACACGCCCGCCGGCAAGCTTTTTCCAAAGCCGCTGTGTGGACGGGCCGTGACAGCTTTGGGGGTTTGATCCCAGCCGTGCATGCTTGTGATGATGAGCAGCAAAGTCCTGGCCTAAAAACGAAACTCAGAATCAAAATCCAATTCATTTTATTTCTATAGCACATTTAAAAACAACAGAGTTGAACAAAGTGCTGTACATCAACAACCGTATAAAAACACAGCATAAATACATAAAAAACAGACGGGACATGAAACAAAAACCCGAGACACTGAAACCAGATCAGAAGCCACCGACTGAGAGACTCTCCTACATACAAACAATACAACACTCTAGGAAGATTAAAAGCACGAGTGTCACCTGGCCTGTAAATGCAAGGGAACATAAACAATAGACATTTTACATATTTCGCATTTACCAAATGTTGTGCTTACGACAATTTGATTAAATAAAGAGGATATACGGTAGGGTGAAGTGGTCTGTCTCCCTATGCTGATTTCTTACAGCTTTGTCCTTGAATCTTGGCCAAGAATAACTCTTTTGTCCTTTAGGTTTTTACCACAAAGGTCTAGAAGTCCAGCCACAAATAAATATTTGTACAACGGAGACTATTTCCACCGTCTCTGTGCTTTGTGTTGTTCCTTCTCCTGGCAGTGAAGGGCAAACAAACCTTATAGCATTCAGTTATCTCCCCGCTTTCAGGGCTGATGACGGATGGATTCACGTCTTCCAAGAGACGAATAACATCAGTCAGGACTGCAGATGCTCCTCAAATGTTTCCAGAATAGGGAAACGGTTGAATAGAAAGATATGACTGTAGGACGTATTATTCTTCCACATTAAATGGGTTTCATACGTCATTTCATTCTACGGCACTTTTATTCTTATGATCTGAATTCCTATTTTTGCAGATTTGGACATTTTGGACAGTTCTGATCTTTATAACTTCATACTCACTGTGGTAATTGCCAACAACTTAAATGTGACGATCCCTTTCTGTGTTTTCAGGATGTTACGGTGTGGACGGAGAGAGCGACTCCATCATGAGCTCAGCGTCGGAGAACTCGACGGAGCCGTGGTTCTGCGACGCCTGTAAGAACGGAGTCACTCCGAGCTGTGAACTCTGCCCGAATCAAGACGGCATCTTCAAAGAGACGGACGCTGGGAGGTGAGATCCAAAACAACATGGACATTAGCCGCCAAGTCATGTGACCGTGCTGTAGTTCCTTTATAGCCCAACATTAGCCTCCTTTAGCTTAGCGGTGGAGACGTGAAGTCATGTGACCGTGCTGTAGTTCCTTTATAGCCCAACATTAGCCTCCTTTAGCTTAGCGGTGGAGACGTGAAGTCATGTGACCGTGCTGTAGTAACTTTATAGCCCAACATTAGCCTCCTTTAGCTTAGCGGTGGAGACGTGAAGTCATGTGACCGTGCTGTAGTTCCTTTATAGCCCAACATTAGCCTCCTTTAGCTTAGCGGTGGAGACGTGAAGTCATGTGACCGTGCTGTAGTTCCTTTATAGCCCAACATTAGCCTCCTTTAGCTTAGCGGTGGTGACGTGAAGTCATGTGACCGTGCTGTAGTTCCTTTATAGCCCAACATTAGCCTCCTTTAGCTTAGCGGTGGAGACGTGAAGTCACGTGACCGTGCTGTAGTTCCTTTATAGCCCAACATTAGCCACCTTTAGCTTAGCGGTGGTGACGTGAAGTCATGTGACCGTGCTGTGTTTCCATTATAGCCCAACATTAGCCTCCTTTAGCTTAGCGATGTTGACGTGAAGTCACGTGACCGTGCTGTAGTTCCTTTATAGCCCAACATTAGCCACCTTTAGCTTAGCGGTGGTGACGTGAAGTCATGTAACCGTGCTGTAGTTCCTTTATAGCCCAACATTAGCCACCTTTAGCTTAGCGGTGGTGACGTGAAGTCATGTGACCGTGCTGTAGTTCCTTTATAGCCCAACATTAGCCACCTTTAGCTTAGCGGTGGTGACGTGAAGTCACATGACCGTGCTGTAGTTCCTTTATAGCCCAACATTAGCCACCTTTAGCTTAGCGGTGGTGACGTGAAGTCATGTGACCGTGCTGTAGTTCCTTTATAGCCCAACATTAGCCTCCTTTAGCTTAGCGGTGGTGACGTGAAGTCACGTGACCGTGCTGTAGTTCCTTTATAGCCCAACATTAGCCTCCTTTAGCTTAGCGATGTTGACGTGAAGTCATGTGACCGTGCTGTAGTTCCTTTATAGCCCAACATTAGCCTCCTTTAGCTTAGCGGTGGTGACGTGAAGTCATGTGACCGTACTGTAGTTCCTTTATAGCCCAACATTAGCCTCCTTTAGCTTAGCGGTGGTGACGTGAAGTCACGTGACCGTGCTGTAGTTCCTTTATAGCCCAACATTGGCCTCCTTTAGCTTAGCAGTGGTGACGTGAAGTCACGTGACCGTGCTGTAGTTCCTTTATAGCCCAACATTAGCCTCCTTTAGCTTAGCGGTGGTGACGTGAGGTGACGTGACCGTGCTGTAGTTCCTTTATATCCCAACATTAGCCTCCTTTAGCTTAGCGGTGGTGACGTGAAGTCATGTGACCGTACTGTAGTTCCTTTATAGCCCAACATTAGCCTCCTTTAGCTTAGCGGTGGTGACGTGAAGTCACGTGACCGTGCTGTAGTTCCTTTATAGCCCAACATTAGCCTCATGGTGTTAATATGTGGAGATTATTCTGATGAACTAAACGTGTAAGAATCATAAACGTTGGTTGGAGATTATTTTTTGCAATAATCCAAAATCACATGGAGAGATCCCATTGGACCAGGGTAGATGATGCCTTCAGGGACCAGCACAGAAATACGTCATCCCTGCACCTTTCTATACCGCCCAATGACCTCAGCTGGTTGAAATGCTGAAGGCAATACTATGTGCATTGTAAATGGTACTCAGAAGAGTAGAGAAAGGGAAGTTGGATTAAAGAGAGAGAGCTGGAGGAGAGGAGAGGATGGAGGGAGAGCAGAGATAGAGGGGGAGAGCAGAGATAGAGGGGGAGAGAAGAGAGAAAAGAGTGTGTTATGTGAAGCGTGGAGACTTCAGCCACGTTATCGCTGATAGTGCTCCTCAGCCAGGCTGCACCCGAATTTACTACTTCACTAGAGCATGAAAAACACAGCAAATTAAAGTGTGAAGCGGCTGCTTGCTGGAGATGGATATCTTTATATTGGACTCCGGATTCTCTTCCCTAAAGTCCGCATTTGAAATTGTGTCACACCAAAGTGGAGCTGCAGTCTGGAGCTGCATGAATCTATGAATCCATTTTTCTTTTTCAAGTGTCTCAGCAACTCTCTGCAGCTTCTCGATATGAAGTTTTCTTATTGTCTGCACGCACGCTAAATGCAGAAATAAACACAGCCGACAGATTTTAATCAATTTAATGGCTTCTCTTGAAATCACTGACCGAGCTTCGACACGTTTTGAATGTCACCTTTTTTTAAAAATACTTTCAGGACAGGCTTTTCATACTAATGTGTTATTTGTTGTTCTTCACTCACAGATGGGTGCATGTGGTTTGTGCGCTCTACGTTCCCGGAGTGGCGTTCGGAGACATCGATAAACTGCGACCGGTGACTCTCACAGAGATGAATTATTCAAAATATGGAGCCAAGGCAAGTTCTGTTTTTACCTGGTGATAAAACACCGAGTTCATTTCGAGTCTCTGCTCAAAACCTTCTTAGTGTTTATTCCAAAGTATTGATTAGGATGTATCCTTCCTGTACGAGAGAGAATTATGGCAACACGTGCATTTTTTTATAGATCTGACAATAAGTGATTTTTATTTTTTTGCGGAGTTTTGAAATGAGATCCAAAATTCTGAGAAAAAATTATACTTTTTTTCTGAAAATCTCCGAATTCTGAAAATTCTCAGATTAAAAAAAAAAAAAATCTCCGAATTCAGATTTCCGTTCTCTGACTTTAATCCAAGAATTATTAATGTCATCATTCGGATAAAAAGTCAGAAAATCTCAGAATTCTGACTATTTTCATAAAAAAACCCTCAGATCTGTTTTTCTCTGACTTTAATCACAGAATTATGAAATGTCCTCATTGTGAAAAAAATGTTTTCACAATGAGGACATTTCATAATTCTGAAAAGACAATTTTTTCCCCTGAAAATCTCAGAATTCTAACATTATTATTTTCAGATTAAAAAAATATATATTTCAGAATTCAAGATTATTTTCTCGGATTTAAATCCAAGAATTGCTTCATGATAACAACGTCAGAATTCTGAAATGCCCCTTTCCCATTGGGGACGGGTGGCGCAGTGGTCTGTGCATCTGATCATCAGATCAAGGGGGAGCTGGGGAACTCCAGTTCAAAACCCGCTCCTGCCGCCACTGCGTCAGGCCGTTGTGTCCTTGGGCAAGACACTTCACCCGGATTTGCTCCTGTGGGTAATGTCCACAGTACATGTATAATACCAATGTGTACCTGTAAAAGCGCCTCGATGACCTCGAGGCGTGAAGATGGACGGTGTGGCGCAGTGCGCTGTGCAATGATCATCAGATCAAGGGGTGAAACCCGCCGCTGCTGCGTCTGTAAAGCCGTTGTGTCCTTGGGCAAGACACTTCACCTGAACTTGCTCCTGTGGGTTTTGTCCACAGTGACCATTGCATGTATAAAAAATATGTGTAAAGCGCTTTGAGCATCTGGAAAAAGCGCTATAATAAATGTAAGGAATTATCATAACCATACTCCGTCTTGGTATAAGAGAAGATCAGAAGTGCTTTATTGATCCCAATTTGGAATTATTTTGCTTTGCAGCAACATGGCAAAAAGACGAGAGAGAATTATGGCAACACGTGATTTTATTCATTAGATTAAATAATAATAATAATTAATTTTCATAAAAAGAAAAAAATAAATCTCAAAATTCAGATTTTCTTTCTCTGACTTTAATCCTAGAATTTTGAAATGTCATCATTTTGATAAAAAGTCAGAATTCTGAGAACTTATTTATTTATTATTTTTTTCTGAGAATATCCGAGTTCTAACATTATTCTCAGATTTTCAGAAAAATAAATCTCAGAATTCAGATTTTTTTTTTCCGACTTTAATCACAGAATTATGAAATATCCTCATTTTGATAAAAAAAATCTGAATTCTGAGAAAAATGCACATATTTTTTCTTCTGAACACAGAATTCTAACATTATTCTCAGATTTTCAGATATTTTTTTCTCAGAATTCAGATTATTTTCTCTGATTTAAATCCCAGAATTATTCAATTGCCTCATGATAAATAAAAAAAGTCAGAATTCTGAAATGCTGTGGCTCCTATCCCCTAACCATACTCCTGGGCTATGAATAAAGAAGGGTCTTGGTATAAGAGAAGGTAAGAAGTACTTTATTGATCCTAATTTGCAGCATCATAAAAAGACAAGGCATTGTATAATAACAATTAAAAGACAAGAAATAAACATTCCAACATGAAACATCTCAATAGAAATAAAATAGCATTTAAAAAAAGTAGAAAATATACTTTTTGAATTACAAATGTACAGTGACAATATATAAAGCAGGATATAATATATACGTAAGTCTGAGAGGAGCAGTGTTGACCTCCTCCATGTGTTTCTTGTAGGAATGCAGTTTCTGTGAGGACGCTCGTTTCTCCCGCACCGGGGTCTGCATCAGCTGCGACGCCGGGATGTGCCGCTCCTATTTCCACGTCACCTGTGCTCAGAGGGAGGGGCTCCTGTCTGAGGCTGCTGCAGAGGAGGTGAGCGCTGCTACCTGAAAAGGGTATAAGTCTAGGTGCCATAGCAATAACATCTGGAGGGAACACAGGGATTTTAGCCTTTGCAGACCGTTTACATGCACAGAAACCTTTAGAACACTTTGTTAATATTTGTTGGGATTTGTTTGAGTCACAACATTTGTTTCAGCAACTTAGTTTCAAAGTATTAAATGACATTACTGAAAGAAGATTCTATGTTAACTGTGGCCCGGGTTACAGCACTGCATTATCATAGACAGGGCTGCACATAACTGGTGCACCGGGTCATTTGAAACCAAGCGCATTTGCGTACCAACATTGAGAGAGGGAGAGAGAGAAGGGAGAAAATAGAGGAGAGATGAGAGAGAGAAGAGAGAGAGAGAAGAGAGAGAGAGAGAGAAAGATATTTGCGAGTTGCATATGAACCATGATATGAACTCAGGGCCGGCCCGTAGAGGAACACACAAGTAGAAGTACTGACTAAACTTCTTTACTCAAGTGAAAGTAAAGAGGCTTTGAAGTGTACTTCAGTAGAAAGTACCCATAACTAGCAGCTGCTTTAAAGAGTACCTGACCTCCCTTTATATTAATAGAACAATAATGTCATTGTTAGCTAATGAATGTTTCCATGCTGAACAACGGCAACATGACAACGTTTCCATTGGTCCCTCTTCTTTAGAGAAGACCAGGAAATGATGGATACACGGATCGTGTTCAAATCAATAGGCACGCAATGACTCTAAGAATAATGATCACGCACCAAACACACATTCAGACTAAAGGAACCAGCTGTTTGGGAAATGAGAGAAGTAGAAAGTACAAGTATTTGAGTTCAACATGTAAGAAGTAGAAAGTACAGGTATTTGAGTTCAACATGTAAGAAGTAGAAAGTACAGGTATTTGAGTTCAACATGTAAGAAGTAGAAAGTTCAGGTATTTGAGTTCAACATGTAAGAAGTAGAAAGTACAGGTATTTGAGTTCAACATGTAAGAAGTAGAAAGTACAGGTATTTGAGTTCAACATGTAAGAAGTAGAAAGTACAGGTATTTGTGTTCAACATGTGAGAAGTAGAAGTACAGGTATTTGAGTTCAACATGTAAGAAGTAGAAAGTACAGGTATTTGAGTTCAACATGTAAGAAGTAGAAAGTACAGGTATTTGAGTTCAACATGTGAGAAGTAGAAAGTACAGGTATTTGAGTTCAACATGTAAGAAGTAGAAAGTACAGGTATTTGAGTTCAACATGTAAGAAGTAGAAAGTACAGGTATTTGAGTTCAACATGTAAGAAGTAGAAAGTACAGGTATTTGTGTTCAACATGTAAGAAGTAGAAAGTACAGGTATTTGAGTTCAACATGTAGAAGTAGAAAGTACAGGTATTTGTGTTCAACATGTGAGAAGTAGAAAGTACAGGTATTTGAGTTCAACATGTAAGAAGTAGAAAGTACAGGTATTTGAGTTCAACATGTAAGAAGTAGAAAGTACAGGTATTTGAGTTCAACATGTGAGAAGTAGAAAGTACAGGTATTTGGAGTTCAACATGTAAGAAGTAGAAAGTACAGGTATTTGAGTTCAACATGTAAGAAGTAGAAAGTACAGGTATTTGTGTTCAACATGTAAGAAGTAGAAAGTACAGGTATTTGTGTTCAACATGTAAGAAGTAGAAAGTTCAGGTATTTGAGTTCAACATGTAAGAAGTAGAAAGTACAGGTATTTGTGTTCAACATGTAAGAAGTAGAAAGTACAGGTATTTGAGTTCAACATGTGAGAAGTAGAAAAGTACAGGTATTTGTGTTCAACATGTAAGAAGTAGAAAGTACAGGTATTTGGTTCAACATGTGAGAAGTAGAAAGTACAGGTATTTGAGTTCAACATGTAAGAAGTAGAAAGTACAGGTATTTGTGTTCAACATGTAAGAAGTAGAAAGTACAGGTATTTGTGTTCAACATGTAAGAAAGTAGAAAGTTCAGGTATTTGAGTTCAACATGTAAGAAGTAGAAAGTACAGGTATTTGTGTTCAACATGTAAGAAGTAGAAAGTACAGGTATTTGAGTTCAACATGTGAGAAGTAGAAAGTACAGGTATTTGTGTTCAACATGTAAGAAGTAGAAAGTACAGGTATTTGTGTTCAACATGTAAGAAGTAGAAAGTACAGGTATTTGTGTTCAACATGTAAGAAGTAGAAAGTACAGGTATTTGAGTTCAAACATGTGAGAAGTAGAAAGTACAGGTATTTGTGTTCAACATGTAAGAAGTAGAAAGTACAGGTATTTGTGTTCAACATGTAAGAAGTAGAAAGTACAGGTATTTGAGTTCAACATGTGAGAAGTAGAAAAGTACAGGTATTTGAGTTCAACATGTAAGAAGTAGAAAGTACAGGTATTTGAGTTCAACATGTGAGAAGTAGAAAGTACAGGTATTTGAGTTCAACATGTAAGAAGTAGAAAGTACAGGTATTTGTGTTCAACATGTAAGAAGTAGAAAGTACAGGTATTTGAGTTCAACATGTGAGAAGTAGAAAGTACAGGTATTTGAGTTCAACATGTAAGAAGTAGAAAGTACAGGTATTTGAGTTCAACATGTGAGAAGTAGAAAGTACAGGTATTTGAGTTCAACATGTAAGAAGTAGAAAGTACAGGTATTTGAGTTCAACATGTAAGAAGTAGAAAGTACAGGTATTTGAGTTCAACATGTAAGAAGTAGAAAGTACAGGTATTTGAGTTCAACATGTGAGAAGTAGAAAGGTACAGGTATTTGTGTTCAACATGTAAGAAGTAGAAAGTACAGGTATTTGAGTTCAAACATGTAAGAAGTAGGAAAAGTACAGGTATTTGGGTTCAACAAGTAAGAAGTAGAAAGTACAGGTATTTGAGTTTCAACATGTAAGAAGTAGAAAGTACAGGTATTTGGGTTCAACATGTGAGAAGTAGAAAGTACAGGTATTTGAGTTCAACATGTAAGAAGTAGAAAGTACAGGTATTTGTGTTCAACATGTAAGAAGTAGAAAGTACAGGTATTTGAGTTCAACATGTAAGAAGTAGAAAGTACAGGTATTTGGGTTCAACAAGTAAGAAGTAGAAAGTACAGGTATTTGAGTTCAACATGTAAGAAGTAGAAAGTACAGGTATTTGGGTTCAACATGTGAGAAGTAGAAAGTACAGGTATTTGAGTTCAACATGTAAGAAGTAGAAAGTACAGGTATTTGGTGTTCAACATGTAGAAGTAGAAAGTACAGGTATTTGGGTTCAACATGTAAGAAGTAGAAAGTACAGGTATTTGTGTTCAACATGTAAGAAGTAGAAAGTACAGGTATTTGTGTTCAACATGTAAGAAGTAGAAAGTACAGGTATTTGAGTTCAACATGTAAGAAGTAAGTAGAAAGTACAGGTATTTGAGTTCAACATGTAAGAAGTAGAAAGTACAGGTATTTGGGTTCAACATGTGAGAAGTAGAAAGTACAGGTATTTGATGTTCAACATGTAAGAAGTAGAAAGTACAGGTATTTGAGTTCAACATGTGAAGAAGTAGAAAGTACAGGTATTTGAGTTCAACATGTAGAAGTAGAAAGTACAGGTATTTGAGTTCAACATGTAAGAAGTAGAAAGTACAGGTATTTGAGTTCAACATGTAAGAAGTAGAGAAGTACAGGTATTTGGGTTCAACATGTAAGAAGTATAAAGTACAGGTATTTGGTTCAAACATGTGAGAAGTAGAAGTACAGGTATTTGAGTTCAACATGTAAGAAGTAGAAAGTACAGGTATTTGGGGTTCAACATGTAAGAAGTAGAAAGTACAGGTATTTTGGGTTCAACATGTGAGAAGTAGAAAGTACAGGTATTGAGTTCAACATGTAAGAAGTAGAAAGTACAGGTATTTGTGTTCAACATGGTAAGAAGTAGAAAGTACAGGTATTTGGGTTCAACATGTAAGAAGTGAAAGTACAGGTATTTGTGTTCAACATGTAAGAAGTAGAAAGTACAGGTATTTGTGTTCAACATGTAAGAAGTAGAAAGTACAGGTATTGAGTTCAACATGTAAGAAGTAGGAAAGTACAGGTATTTGAGTTCAACATGTAAGAAGTAGAAAGTACAGTGATTTGAGTTCAACATGTAAGAAGTAGAAAGTACAGGTATTTGGGGGGTTCAACATGTAAGAAGTAGAAAGTACAAGGTATTTGGGGTTCAACATGTGAGAAGTAGAAAGTACAGGTATTTGGGTTCAACATGTGAGAAGTAGAAAGTACAGGTATTTGAGTTCAACATGTGAGAAGTAGAAAGTACAGGTATTTGTGTTCAACATGTGAGAAGTAGAAAGTACAGGTATTTGGGTTCAACATGTGAGAAGTAGAAAGTACAGGTATTTGTGTTCAACATGTGAGAAGTAGAAAGTACAGGTATTTGTGTTCAACATGTGAGAAGTAGAAAGTACAGGTATTTGAGTTCAACATGTAAGAAGTAGAAAGTACAGGTATTTGGGTTCAACATGTAAGAAGTAGAAAGTACAGGTATTTGGTTCAACATGTGAGAAGTAGAAAGTACAGGTATTTGAGTTCAACATGTAAGAAGTAGAAAGTACAGGTATTTGGGTTCAACATGTAAGAAGTAGAAAGTACAGGTATTTGGGTTCAACATGTGAGAAGTAGAAAGTACAGGTATTTGGGTTCAACATGTAAGAAGTAGAAAGTACAGGTATTTGGGTTCAACATGTGAGAAGTAGAAAGTACAGGTATTTGAGTTCAACATGTAAGAAGTAGAAAGTACAGGTATTTGGGTTCAACATGTAAGAAGTAGAAAGTACAGGTATTTGAGTTCAACATGTAGAAAGTACAGGTATTTGGGTTCAACATGTGAGAAGTAGAAAGTACAGGTATTTGAGTTCAACATGTGAGAAGTAGAAAGTACAGGTATTTGTGTTCAACATGTGAGAAGTAGAAAGTACAGGTATTTGGGTTCAACATGTGAGAAGTAGAAAGTACAGGTATTTGAGTTCAACATGTAAGAAAGTAAGTAAGAAGTACAGGTATTTGAGTTCAACATGTAGAAAGTACAGGTATTTGGTTAACATGTGAGAAGTAGAAAGTACAGGTATTTGAGTTCAACATGTG